CTCAAGGTCAGGGGGGAGGGGCGGTGCTTCGCTAGGCCTCCTCCCCCTTCGGCCCTCCCCTCCCCCTCGGGTTCTCCTCACTTCAGCAGTTTTTCTGATTATGCAACACACTGCAGACCCACTGCCGCACAAAGCCGGGCCCTCCAGGCCCAGACCCAGCCTCTGCCCACCAGGGTGCTCACAGGCCCTGCCCCCGCCTGCCTGCCTTCCCCTGGCCCAGACGCGGCCGTCCTCTGGTCCCATTGAGCTTCCAGCAAGCCCTAGAGACTGCTACCCCCACGCCCTCTGGCCTTCATTCGCTCTCTCTGATGACTCAAGTCTCCACTGTTTAACCCCTACCCTCTACTCTAGTGCCATCTCCCTGGGCAACCTCCCCACTAATTCCAGAATCCCCATCCTCGCATCCTACCCTGTTCCGCCTCAGCCTCTTCTCCCAGGCCCTACGCCCCGGTGCTGGCGAGTAAGGAGGCTTTGCAGTGTGGAGAGCGCCACCGCCACCAGAGGACACTTGCCCGGAGACAAACTGCAGGCAGCACTGATCATGCCCATGACTGCAGTCTCGCCCAAGGCACAAGAGGTGTCTCAGTCACTGTCATGCGGCAGGTTGGGCTCCCCACGGGCGGCACACAGCTGCGCACTCTGCAGGGTCACATCTGCAGCCACCCGGGCCACTCGCTCAGCTAGGGTCGCTAGTCACATGGTTGCACAGCCAGCCCTAGTCACATGGTTCCATGTAGTGGCACACACAGGCAGGCACACACACAGGGTCACACAAGCAAACAGTCACATGGCCACACGCAGTCACATGGGCACACACAGCCTCACACACAGGCTCCCGCTCCCGCAGGTCACACTTGTTCTGCCATCCCACACTGATGCGACTCCCAGCCCCCTCCCTGCACGCTAACAGTTGTCCTTGAACTTGGGAATCCTCACACAAAGAGCTTCCTTCTGCCTCCAGCACTTTGGACTGTCCCTGCCCTCACCCTTCTCTGACCCTGGCTTCAGGGAAGATACAGCTGCTGCCTCTGCTGTCTGTGTCGCCTTGACAGGTGGGCAGCCCCCACTGCACCCCATACCTACTCGCTGGACCACACAGCACCCCCTATCTGGCCGTAACAGAGGTCCTGGAGGTGCAGTCAAGGAAGAGACAAGGGAACTATGGTGGCCTGTGTTCCTAGGTGGGCTTCTGCCTGTGCTGGCACGCTAGGTTCTGTCCTATCAGCAGGTGCCCAGGAGGCTGTGAAATGGCCAGGCAGGGTTAGGACCCCTGATCCCTGCCTCTCTTCTGTGTGGACATCCTCTGTATCCCGGTTTGGCCCGGTTCTAGGCTGCCTTTGCGTCCTCTTTCCCCATCCCCCATCCATCCACAGTCCTGGCGTGGACCACCACCTTCTGCCGTTTCTGGTTCCCCAGGGTCTTGGTGGCGGCCCCTGCCCTTCCACTCCCACATCCCGCCGCTGCCTCTGCTAGCAGTGCTCTAACCCCTCATCCCCAGCGCCAGCCCCAGCTGGCGGGTACCCCAGCCCGCACCTTTCTCGTGCAGCCGCACACCGAGGTCGCTGCGGGTGCGCCCGTAGGAGCTGTCGAGGTCTGCCGACGAGAACGTGTCAAGTTTGACCTTCTTGACCAGGAAGGACCTGGGCATGATTCCTGCGGGGCTCCGGCGCGGAGGGCCTGCGGAGCCGGGGCGCGGGGGGGCTGCGGCCGCGGCGAGGCCTCGTCACCATCCGAGGAGGGGCACAGGCAGCGCGGCCCTGTCTCTGGCCTCCGGATGCTGCCCCGAGTGTGCGCTCCTCTCTCCTTGCCCTCCGTCTCCTCCTCTGGTCGTCTGGATCCCTCGTCTCCTTCCCTTCCCGTCTCTTCTTTGCTGCTCCCTTCCTTCGTTCCTTCCTTCCCTCCTCTGGTCCCGGCTTCCCAGCCCGCAGTGCCGCCCCTGGACAGGCGGGGGAGGAGGCTGGGGGGGCGGGGAAGGGGGAGCGGCTCCGTCCCGGGCCCGGAGGCTGCGAGTGGGTGCAGGGCTGGCCCGGCCCCGCGGCCCCCTTCCCGCACCCCCCCGCCGCGGCGGAGCCTCAGTCAGCGGCGCCCCATGTTCCCAGAGGCGGCGGCGCCGGGCCCAGAGAACGCGGCGGCGGCGGGGCCGACAGCTTC